AGGACAATGAATGTACAAATGTGCTTTACACAATTGATGGATGTATGGATTGTGATAAGAGTTGTATGAGCCCCTAATAAAATGATTTTTTTTTAAGTATTTAAGGGTATGGGACCCATGTGTTTGTCCTTATGTATACAAATATCTGTGTATGTTTGTACACAGAGACAGAGGGAAAGGCAGGCGGGGGCATATAAAAGGAGACAAAGATAAAAATACTGATAAAATGTTAACAACTAGTACATCTGGGTAGAGTAAATATACGTTCATTCTATTCATCTTACTCTTGCAGTGTTTTCTGCAGACTGGGAAGTATCTCCAAGTAAACAGTTACTCTGGCACGCTCTGCCTCTAGGGGCTCGGAACAGCTAACTCACTAAAGGTGGATGGTTAGGGTCACTTGGGCCTGGGTATCCACATCTGAAAAACACAGTTATTGAAAACTCTGTGAGTTTGAATCAACTCCGCGGCAACAAGGAACTGGTTTCCAGCACGATAATAAAAATGAGGTGTGTTCAGTTTGTGAAAATTGGAATTACACTTTTATGTATTTTTCTGTATGTGGGAGCCTCAAAACATTTGTGGAAAAATAGAATTGAAAGACTTTGGAATTTTCCCATAACTTGACACCACCCTTGTGTATGGCATACATCAATTAAAAAGTTGAAAAAATAAGACCTTTTGCCAAAAGACCACAAGAGAATTTTCTAGGATTAAGTCTAAATATTTTTATACTGTATTTATAGAAAATGTTTTAAACATTTTTGCATATATGCCTATATAACACAGAAAGAACATGTTGAAGGCAAGGATATATGTCTTTTTTTTGTCTTCTTATATATCTCATCCTTACACTCTTACACAATTTCTATAAGTAATGTATATGTCAACTGACAACGGACTGAAATGGACCGGTTTTAAATGACATCAGTATCTTAGTTGAATTTCCTTTGCTTTTGGTCCCAATTCCCTGCCACTTACCCACAACACTGCCCACTTTCGAAATATCACTCTCGTTCATCCTTGCCCAAAAAGTAGAGTTCAAGAAAATGAAACCTAGCTTGCCGACTCTGCGACAGACCCTCATGTCCTCAGTGACAAAGAGAGGAAGAGTAATTTTGGCTGGAGATCATACCACATATCTTCACAGCTGTAATACTTTCCAAAGGTCATTTTGGCATCCCTCTATGATCGGGAATAAGTGACTCACCAAGATCCCGTCACTAGTTCAGTGTGTTGTCAGCGGGAAAAGCTGAAAAGGTATCGCGACAGAGGGACAGAGCCTTGTGGGAGTTGTATTAACAGTAAAGCCTACCCCAGCTCTTGGGTTGCCCACCTTTGTACAGCACCTTTGTGTCGTCTTATGCAGAAGCCTTGTCTCACATTTGTCTCAGAATTTTCCCATCCCATCCCTACCCCAAATCAGGATGATTTAGTCATTTATTTATTCATCTACCGATTTTTCCACCAGGCAGATGTCTTTACATTGTACTGAGACTGATTAATTCTCTCTAAACAAATAAACCTATCACAATAAAGCCTTCCTTTATTCTGTCGCCCTCCCCTCACCTAGGAATCCGTCCTCTGGCAGACCCTGATTCGTGCCAAGGAATCCTCATGCCCTTTACACTTCCTAGTCAACTGACCCCTTAACTGAGTTTGTGTATCCTTAAAACTTATTCTTCAGTTATCCTTGAGTGTACTCACATTTTCCTTTCATATAAAAAGGTTTGGCTTTTAGACTGCCTCCAGTCGCCTACTTTGACATTAGACAGCTGCGTGACAACTATGTTCACAGGTTTCCATTATCTCTTATATGAATGGTTGAAATCTGACCAAACTTGATCCTTTGTGGCAATTTTTCCCAGTTTTCAGAAAGCACTATACAAAAGACTTTTAACATAAAAGCAGGCAAATCAGGATATATTTATTAAATAAAAAAAAGAGAAGGTCCTTTCATTTAGTTTAATTAAGCTTATCAGAAACCAAACCTACTTCCTTCAAGGTGAGACTGATGTCAAATTGCCCCTGGGGTTCATGGGCTGTAAATCATTTATGGAAGCAGCTGCCATGTCTTTCTATTGCAGAGTGCCTGCTGGGTTCCAACCAACCGATCAGTAGCTGTTGGGTGCTTGAACCACAGCACCAAAAGGGCTCCTTTAATTACACTTAATACATACAAAATATAGATGTATAGCTATTAATTAATATCTGTTATATAAACTGTTTATATGGGAAATTTACTATTTCTGAGTGGTAGTAAAGTCTGTAAATTATAAAATTTTAACAACTTCTTATTAACATATAGCCTTCTAAATGGCTAAAACAAAAAATAGTGTTTTAGTTATATCTGGCATTACATTCATTTTAGAAGAGAAGCTCACCCAAATCAACACGTTATCTGGTATCAAAATGACCCACCAAGAGGATACCGCTGCATACTTAAAATCCTTACATTATTTTCACATTAGGATGTACTTACGAATATTTCACATGAACATAATAGAAAAGGACCAGTTTCCCAATGTACCTTATTACATTAATAGTCTCTTTTAATGACTCTTCAAGAGCAGTTAAAATAAATAACATCTTTGTATAACCTAGCTTGGTAAATAAAGGGTCATCAAAATGGCAATACAGACTAATTCCAAGGGATAATGAACATACACACTCCCCACCCCACCCCCAGAGGGACAAACAACAGAAAAGTTGGTGGAGACACCAAATGGTGTAAAATATGAAAATAATAATTTATAATTCACCAAGAGATCAAAAGAGTAGGAGGGTGAGGGAGGGAGGGAAAAAAGAGGACCTGCTACTGGGGGCTCAATTAGAAAGAAAAATGTTTTGAAAAGGATGATGGCAACATATGTACAAATGTGTTTGATACAACCAATGTATAGATTGTTGTAAGAGTTTTAAGAGCCCCCAATAAAATGATTTTAAAAATACAAACTCTGCAATTAATTTGAGGAAGACTATTTTATTTTTATTTTATTGGGGTCTCATACAGCTCTTATCAAAACCCATATATACATACATTGTGTCAAGCATATTTGTAGATATGTTGCCATCATCATTCTCAAAACATTCTTTCTACTTGAGCCCTTGATATCAGCTCCTTTTCCCCGCTCCCTCCCTCATGAACCCTTGATAATTTAGAAAGTTTCCCCCGCCCAAGTCTTACACTGACAGCTGTCACCCTTCACCCACTTTTCTGTTGTCTATCCCCTAAGAAGAGGTTATATGTAAATCATTGTGATCGGGCCCCCTTTTCTCCCACCTTCCCCTTACCCTCCTGGTATCTCTATTGTCATTATTAGTCCTGAGAGGTTTATCTTTCCTGGATTCCCTGTGTTTCGAGCACTTACTTGTAGTAGTGTACATGATCTGGTCTAGTCAGATTTGTAAGGTAGAATTGAGGGCATGAGTAGAGGGAGGAAGCATTAAAGAACTTAAGGAAAGTTGTATGTTTCATTGGTGCTATACTGTACCGACTGGCTCGTCTCCTCCCTGCGACCTTTCTGTAAGGGGATGTCCAATTGTCTACAGATAGGCTTTCACATTGATTCTTTTGACCTGGGTCTTTGATGTCTGATACCTAATCACATCGACACCTCATGATCACACAGGCTGGTGTGTTTCTTCCATATGGGCTTTGTTGCTTCTCAGCTAGATGGTCGCTTGTTTATCTTCAAGCCTTTGAGACCCCAGACACTATATCTTTTGATAGCTGAGCACTATCAGCTTTCTTCACATTTGTTTATGCACCCATTTTGTCTTCAGAGATTGTGTTGGGAAGGTGAGCATCACAGAATGCCAGATTATTAGAACAAACTTCTGTATTGTTATATAAATATATTTACATATATACATGCCTGTATTTAGACCTCTATGTTCTTTGCCTCCTGCTTCTTTTCTCTATTTCCTTTTACTTTCCACTTGTTCCACTATCATGTTTGGCCTTCATTTGGATTTCAGTAATTCCTCTTGTCACTAATCATTGCCCTTGATTAAGCCCCACCAGGCATCCTATGCCCTTCTCTCCCTTGATTTTAGACCACTTGTTGTTCCCTTGTCCCTGGGTTGGTCGACACCCCTCCTTCCTTTCTCCCACCTCCCCCTCACCAGTGTCCCCCAAGTACCCACCAGTCCCATTGTTTTCTTCTCTGAATTGTTTATCCCATCTATCTTATCCAGATAGACATGCAGAGACAATAATAAGCGCAAAAACAAGACAAAGCCAAACAACAAAGGAAGACAAAACAAAATAACAACAAAAAGGGAAAGCCTATAAATCAGTGGTGCTCAACCTATGGGTCGCAACCCCTTTGGGGTAGTAAAATTAGTTATGAAGTAGTAACAAAAATAATTTTATGGTTGGGGGGTCACCACAACGAGTCATGGCATTAGGAAAGTTGAGAACCACTGCTATAAATAGTTCCAGGTCTGTTTTTTGACCTTTAGGAGTGTTTTGCAGTCGAGTCTGATAGGGTACCACTCTCTGGTCCCAAAGGAGAAAGACTTTTAAAAATTAAATAGAGTAGAGCTTGAAAAATTCATGGAGAAATGGAATGAAAAGATTAATAACCTCCCCCAACACCAAAACTTCTCAAGCCCTCTTTTATTGACAACTCCTGGTCAGTTCTCCATATTTAAGTTGTTATATAAATGAGAAAATAATTGAGAAAAAGTATTTATTATTTTAGTGATCACTCATTGACACATGAAATAGCTTGTTTTAAGCAATATTGTTAAAGATGCTTCTGGAAGTCTTACCATGAGCTGTGTAGTTTGTACAGTTAACTGGCTCTTGTGTGGCATCATTTATTATTGGTCCTTTACATATATATGTAAGAAAAGTTAAGGAAATATGAACTATATTTTAACACAAAACATCTTGTCTTAAGCTATTATAAACTCATGTTTATATTCACATGTAAAAAGAGGCTACTTGTCCAAGTCAACGAGCACAGTCAAAAATACATCTTTAGTGTGCCTAAGCTTTAACTTATGGGAAAGGCTTACTAAGTTAGAGAAGCCCTGGTGGCTTCCACTACTAACCTCTGGGCAGTTTGAACCTGTCAGTCGCTGCACAGGAAAAAGACCTGCCTTCTGTTGCAGTAAAGATTAGTCTCCAGAATCCCCTGGGGCAATCAGTCCTACCCTATCCTAAAAGATAGTTATGAGTCTGAATCAACTGGATAGGAATGGATTTGATTTTCATTCTGCCCAATTAGTTTCTTAGAATTACCCTGGCATGTTTTGTGTGTGAAGAGAAAGACACAGCTGATAGGTCAGTGAGTCTTAAGCTTCAAGCACTACAGTATTCAGCAAGTTAGAGTTTTGCTACGGTGAAAATGCAATGCACATAATCCCGAGATCATTTCTTAATCTTAAAACATTCTCCCATAGAATTCCTAAATCTCTGGTGAATTGCATGTTTTCTGTTCTAGAATTAATGTAAAATCATTTCTAATTTTGCACAAGAATCGCTATTTTCACTTGAATATAGTTCCCACTGCATTTCGTTCCTGCCTTTATCAGAGCTACGTGACAACGGGCAGATCCTGATCAGTGTAGCCACTTCGGCTTCATTTTCTCTAAAAACAAATAGTGAACAGATTTAGCATGGTTATAAATGCTTTACCTGTATTAGCTCATTTAAACACAACAGTGCTTTAAACTGGTTATCGTTGAATACTGTTCAAATCGTTTGTCCAAGGTTACAAAATGAGGAAGAAATTCAACCCCTGCAAATCTGGCATGTCACGGACTTTGAGGATTACATGGAAAATTAATGATTAACACACTTTGGCTACGTCAATATTATTTCCTTGCCTTCCCCCAAATCAGCAAACATTTTTAGGCCTGGGTGTGTGCAATCTTTGTACTAATGATGCTTAGAACAGGACCTGGCATTCCCAGAAAGCATTTGTTTGTTGAACAGCTAAAACCACCGATAAAAACAGGTGTTCAAGAAAAGGACCAGTAAAATCCTGAGGAAGTCACTCGAGGTGCCTTCCGCCTCTTTCACCACGCAAAGCCCCACATCCCGGGGTTCCTCGGTCATTAGCGGCCACAGTTCACCTTCAGGTTAGCCTTTGCCCGGGTTGAAGTCCGAGACCCACAAGTGACCCTAACCTGCCTTCCCCGGAGCCCGCACTCCATGGAGAGGCTACCAACAGAGGATATTGTCCCATTTTGAGGTCCTCGCACTTAAGCGTCTCTTCGCTCCCGGCGGCAGCGGTGGCTGCGGCGCTCCAGGATCCAGTGGTAAATACCACGAACCACAGCAATCCCCGAAACTGGACGGCTGAAGACTCCGGTGAAACAGGTCCAGCGGGCCAGGGGGCCGCCATACTGGGAAACGCTGTCCCGCCCCCTCGCAACTTCCGGTTCCGCTTTCTTCCCGGAAGTGGGCGGGGAAAGGACGCCAGGAGCCGGCGGTGGGGGGGTTCTTAAAGGGACCTGGTCCACCACCTAGGAAGCCGCACCTGCCAGTGAAATCACCTAGAAACTTACTTTTAAGAAAATGCAAGCTTCCGCCTTCCCCTCCCCTTTCCTCCCTCCGCAGGAGGGGCGGATCTATCCCGTGACCTTTGGGAAGGTCTCCGGGCAAGGTTGATTTTTCGGAGAGGGCAGGAAAAGGCCCTCTCTTTCCACTCAATTTTCCTTTAGGCTTCTCCGTTCTACCCAAGTGCCTGGGTGCCTTGCGTTGAGATAAACACAGTGTTTTTTACGCTTCTCCGTTAGTCCTGACGGGGTTTGAGTTTATAGATAAGAATCTGGCTCAGCCCCCAATAAAATGTTTGTTTTTTTTAAAGAATCTGGATCGAAGACCTGATTTTTGCCCTTGGTTGCTGTGACTGAAGATGGGATTGAAATCCCAAGTCGCTGATTCTAGAAGCTGTGACCTTGATGAAGGTGACAGAATGGCCCCTGGTTCCCTAGATCGCTCAGGTGGCACAGTGGGTTTTGCCTCCATAAAGATTCAGTCCGAGAAACCCTAAGGAACAATTCAGTGCTACAGACTCAAAATGGCTCGGAATGGACTCGGCGGTGATTTGCTTTGCTGGTTTTGATTCGGTGGCTGGTGCGCCGTGGTTAACCTCTTAGCTTGCTAACAGAAATCCCAGCAGTTAAGCCCACCAAAAAACGGACGCATCGGCCGACGTAGGGGCAGGTCTGCTCTGACCTCCAGTGCTCTTGTGAGTTGGACTTGACGCGGGCAGTGGAGGTGGTTGATTTTAGTGTTGCCGTAGAGCAGGGGTTCTCCACCTTCCTCATGCCGCCACCCTTTCATACAGTTCCGCATGTGGTGGTGGTCCCCCCAACCATAAAATTATTTTCGTTGCTACCTCATCTCTGTAATTTTGCTACTGTTATGAATCGTCATGTAAGTATCTGATATGCAGGATGTATTTTCATTGTAACAAATTGAACAAAATTAAACAATTAAAGCATAGTGATTAATCACAAAATAATATGTAGTTATATATTGTGAAATATGTATGTGTTTTCCTATGGTCTTAGGAGACTCCTGGTATACTTAGTTCTTTTATCAATGCCATGATTCAAAAATGCCAACTCATCTTCAGTTTTCCTTATTCATTCTCCAGTTCTTACATGCATATTGTGAAAGTACCATGAAACTATGGCTTAGGTCAGATGCTCCTTAGTTCTCAAAATGCAATCTCTGCTTTTTTCAGACTATAAAGAGGTCTTTTGCAGCAAATACAATCAATACCGGTTGTCTTTTGATTTCTTGACTACTGCTTGCATGGGTGTTGGTTGCAGATCCAAGTAAAATGAAATCTTTGATAACTTCACTCTGTTGTCCATTTATTATGATACTTTTTATTGGCCCAGTTGTGATAACTTTTATCTTAAGCTGTCATCCATACTGAAGACTGTAGTCTTTATCATCATCAGTAAGTACTTCAAGTTCTCTACAATTTTCACAAGCCAAGTTGTATCATTTGCATACTACAGGTGATTAAGGGTCTTCCTCCAGTCCTGATGTGTTTTTCATTAACCCAGCTTCTTGGATTGTTTGGTCAGTGTTTTAGTCCAGGTAGACTAGAGAAACAAATCCATAGAAACTCTTATATGCTTAAGAGAGAGTTTTATATAAAGGGTAATTGTACATTAAGAAAGCATCCCAGTCCAGTCCAAGCCCATAAGTTCAATATTAGCCCATATGTCTGATACCAATCTATAAAGTCCTCTTCAGACTCATGAAACACAAGCAATGATTCCGAATATGGTATGATCAGAGGCCAGTGGGTAGAAACTCTTTGGATCCAGTGGCATTATAAGCATCTCAACACTGCCAGGGGTCTCCGCATGACTTCTCCAGTTCCCAGGGCTGCATCAGGGTAGGTCCATGTGGCTTCTCCTCAGGGATGTCTTGCCAGAAATAAGCAGAGAGAGAGTCTTTTCTACTCATAGGAGAAAATCCTATGAGTTCCCAGAATTCTCAGGAGAAGGCCATACCCACACAGAGGCCTCATTGGCAATGATTCAATTGACAGACTAGACTCCACCCCTTCACTCTCAATCCTCTCAAATCCCAAATTGACACCAGATTATGTAACTACCACAGTTAGCATACAGATTGAATAAATATGGTGAAAGGATAAAACTCTAATACTCTAAACTCTAAAACTCCTGACTTTAAAGCACAGCATATCCTTTATTCTCCCCAGATTACTTGTTATTGGTCTATGTACAGGTAATACCAGAGCACAATTAAGTGTTCTATTATTACTGTTCTTTACAGTGTTGTTCAAATTTTGTTATGATCCACACACCTTTAATGCATTTGCACAGTGCATAGGACACTAATGTACATCTTTCTGGTATTCTCTGCTTTTAGCCAAGATTCATCTGACATCAACAATGGTATTCCTCTATCCACATCCTCTTCAGAATCTGCTTGAAATTTGCTCATCCTGTCAATATACTGCTGCAACCATTTTTGAATTATCCTCAGTGAAAGTTTACTTGTGTGTGATACTGATGGTATTGTTTAAATGTTTTTGTGTTCTGGTGGATTATATTTCTTTGGAGTGGACACAAATATAGCTGTCTTCCAAATTTCTTGCCATAAATAAGTGGTCCCACCCCCAAAGGGGTACTGTGCCCCTTATTTACATTATTAGCAAGCTACCAATCACGTTAGAGGATCTCAGGCACCTCACATTTGCATAGTCCTACAAAATCATTTGAAGAACTACCTTAAATAATTCGCGACACTGCCCCATAGTTTTCCAATTACCTCACATGCATGCAAAAGCTGGATTGATAAAGGAGACTAAAGAATAATTGATATCTTTGAATTATAATGCTGATGAAGAATATTAAATATACCATAGGCTTCCAGAATATGAACAAGTCTGTCTTAGAAATACAGCCAGAAAGCTCCTAGGAAGCTAGGATGGTGAGACTTAGTTTCACATTCTTCAGACCTGTTATCAGAAGGAACCTATCCCTAGAGGAGGACAGTGAAAAAAAAGGATGATCCTCATGGAGACGGATTGACAAAGTGGCGGCAACAATGGGGCCAAACAGCAATGACTGTGAGGATGGTGCAGGACTGGGCAGTGTTTCCTTCTGTAGTGTATGAGGTCCTTATGAGTCACAACCTACCCAAAAGCATCTAACAACAATAATAACGTATGTACTAGTTACTGAGTAGGAAAAATACTTTGGTTCCAATATTCTAAAAATTAAAATATATATATATATATATATATTCCAAATATCAAAGCTATGAAAACCATAATTTCTGCCTACCATTATAATTTATACAAATAAAATAATATCCAGGTCAAACTAGAGCAACAGAGATTTACAAGGGAAAATCAAAACGTATTAATACTAGGGATCCAGTGTATATATGCATGTGTTTATTTCAAGAAAAACATGTTTGGACATGTTTCTGCCATCCATGAGTGGCTGCAGATAGTTCTATCAGTAATATACTTGCCTTAATCTTATTAGGATGCCTTCAGATAAAAAGATAGCTTTTTTTTTAACCATATAAAAACTATTTTGAAAAAAAAAAATAATAAAAATAAATAAAAATAAAAAAAATAAAAACTATTTTGAAATCAGACCTATTATAAAAATTTAAACAACACTAAAGTGGGCATTTACCATTTGTCTAGTTTGTTGGCTGTAGTGACACACGTGTTCCTGTGATGCTAGAAGCCATGTCACCAATAGTTCAAATACTAGCAGGGCAACCTCACATGCACAGATTTCAGCGGAGCTTCCAGACTGTGACCAAACAATGAAGAAGACATAAACTGCCACTTCTGCAGAATTAGCTACTAGCAGTGTTATGGGTAGCAGTGGGACGGTGTCAGAGCTAGTGCCCCACGAGACCCAAAATACAACCTCGAGTTTATCCAGTCTGAATCTGTAGAACATACTTGATGCACTGAGCACTAAGGACAAGACCGTGGATGACATCAAGAACATCATACATATGAAACCGAAAGATCATTAAAAAGGAAAGAAAGAAAAGATCAAAGTGGATGTCAGAAGAGACCCTGAAAGTTTCTCTTAATTGTAGAGTCACTGAAGCAAATGGAAGGAATTATGAAGTCAAGGAGCTAAAGATAGAAAAATTAAAGGGTATCTAGAGAAGACAAAGTAAACTATAAAGAAATATGCAAACACTCGGAGTAAGAAAAACAACAAAAAAGAAAGATTATACTCAGCAAATTTTATACTGTAAGATTTGAAGAAAAAATTCAAGAATTGAGTTGCAATTTTGAAAGATTCTATGGGCAAAATATTCAATAATTTAGGAAGTATCAAAAGAAGATGGAAAGTGCACAGAGTCACTGTACCAAAAATAATTGACATTTAACCATTTTAAGAGATAGTACATGATTTTAAAAAAAAAGAAAAACAATGATAAGAAGTCCAAGCTTCCCTGAAGGCATTAGCCAAAAACAAGGCTGCAGGGATTGATGGAATGCCAATTGAAATGTTTCAATAAGCTGATGAAGCACTGAAAGTACTCATTCATCTGTGCCAAGATGATTCGGAAGACAGCTACATGGCCAACTGACAGGAAGAGATCAATATTTGTACCTATTGCAAAGAAAGGTGACCCAATAGAATGTGAAAATTATAAAACAATATCATTAATAACACATGCAAGTAAAATTTTGCTGAAGATCAATCAACTATGGTTACAAGCAGTACATTGACAGGGAGCTGTCAGAAACTAAAGCTGTATTCAAAAGAGGAGATAGCATGAGCGATATTATTAGTGAAATCAGATGGATCTTGGATGAAAGTAGAGAAAGATGCTTATTTATTTTTTACTATACAAAGGCATTTAACTGT